TTACTTGAATTTGGAAGGATTATTATAATCTCATCTGTCACTTTTTTTCTTGGGTGCAGAAGAGCTTAAAAATTAATGTGCAGTTTAATTGAAATGAAACCAAAAGCATGCTCTTGACATCAATAATCCTAAAAGTAAAAGCTGTGTGTTTGTAAGAAACACATGCATTATTAAGGTGTTTTAACTTTAAACAGTTTTAACAGGGACAAAGTACAAGGCCATAATCCATAATAACACTTCCTCTATTGAAAAAATCCATCCCCTGTTGTCCTCACACACCAAAGTCCACAAACACATTTGTTTAGAACTGTTTGTCATTTTTGTTTTTGTTGTTATTTGTAAATTCTGCAGATTTCTCTCCTGATTCAGACTACAACATTTTTTCACTGGAGAAAGCAAAATTATGGATAGACGGCTCGTATTTTAGCTAGAAGCAACTTATAAATGTCATAATGATGAATTTGTTTATTACAAACGCCCAGCTTTTCACTTCACAAGACGTTATTTGATAGACTGGGGTTGTTACTTGTGGATTATTCTGATTGTGATGTTTTCACCCATTCACTGCAAGTGATATAATGCTAATTTTCTCCAAATCTGTTTCTCTATCTTGAGTATATTTTCAGCCAACTTAAATTTTTGTGTGGACTACTCCTGCTGCTAATGCTAACATTAATAGACAAAAATATCCAAATGTTTTGAGACGCTATGTCTCTAAAATTCTCTTGCGTTTGCACATTTCTGACAACTTCATAATGTTGTTATAGTGACTGGATCACAAAACTCAAAATGAGATGTTAATACTACATTTAACTGGGATCTATATATCCCTGTTAATTAATAGTGGCAAAAAATTAAAAATAAAAAGCCAGAAAATCAAAGATATTCAGATCAATAGGCCTAAACTGCTGTAAAAAGCTAAACAAAGAGGACATCTGTCATTTAGACTGGCTCAACATTCCACAGATGGTCCCAACAGCCCTTTACTGTCCCTTTTATAGTCTTCTAAAAAATGTATTAGTCTGTGGCTTTAGGGGGAATTTATCCTCATCACCACATGTCGCTGCAAGTTTTTCTCATCATTGTTCAAAAATATGATGTGTAAAATAAACTGAGCTTTATGACAGGTTATGCATGTCTGAATGTGCATTTGGAGTTATGTGTTTCAAGACGGGGCAAAACCAAATATTTCATCATCACCAGGCCCGCAGATGGCACTAGGGACGGGGGGAACATGATCCCCCAGATTCATAGTGACCTGATCCGCCTCCCCTCACTGTCGCTACTAAAGGCAACATCGGTAAACAGAGGATTAATCAGGGTTTCCGCTATTAACATTAGCCTAAGTGGTGGCGGCCCGGCCCGCCACTCCTTAAACGTGCACTGTGATTTTTGAAAAACGCTTTTGACGCAGTGTCTGACCGAGTCCCAAAACACACTTGTACCCAATCAGCAGTAAGGGGGCGTGTCTTGTACTGATAGAGAGAAGAGAGCCGCTCAATTTTAGTGCACTGGACAGATATTAGCAGATCGACTATAGATAGAGAGAGATGGCAGATAAAAAAAAGTGGAAAATCGCCTATCAGAGAAACAAAACATTAAAAAAGAAGGGATACGATCAGGCAAGAGGTAGGACCCGCGTAAATATCGGGGCAGCTTTCCAGCAGTGGAGAGAAACTCAAGGAGCGGGAAGCGCTCGAATCGCACGCCGAGGTTGTGCTGTTTCTTTTTGATAGGTGAGTAACGTTGACTTTGCTTTGTTTCACACAACTTATCTGTGTTGTCTTTTGTTTGAATATGCTTGTGTGTCATCTTCACTTGTTTCCGCGATCGTCGTTGCCATGCTTGCGTAAGTACGTGTGAGGCGGAGATTTCAAAATAGGGGCGAGGTCCTGTTGGGGTATGGGCGTGTTTGTTTTGGTGCTTTCAAATATCAACATCATTTGGCAAAAATCGCTTAGTGCACCTATAATAATTGAGCGCACAGGACAGATATTAGCAGATCGACTATAGATAGAGAGAGATGGCAGATAAAAAGATGGCAGATGGCAGATGAAGCTCTCACTGCTTCAGGATCGGGTCGGGGCAGACACAGGCTGATGCACAATAATAATCTACCGGTCACCATTACTTAAACTACTTCAGTCTGTGTGCATTGAATTTATTTAATGCACGAGTTTCACAATTTGAGTTGAATTACTGAAATAAATGAACTTTTCCACGACATTCTAATTTATTGAGATGCACCTGTATGTGCTATGACTCCTGACCCTGGGGTCCTATGAGGAGCTGGTAGCTGCCTCAATTGTGCCTGTAACCATAGTGATCGTATACTATTGTCTATGACAGAGCTGGTGATTTTTCTGGACTGAAAAAATTGGACTGCTTGGTCCCTCCCAGTTGAAAAAAAATCCCATCTGCACCCATGATCATCACAACACTACACTATCACAACACTATCAAAGAAAAGATTCTATCAAAGAAATGAAAATGTGTCCTTCTTCCTGATAAAGATTTTAAAAAATAATTTAACGAGTTCGTTTGCCCATATAATCACTAGGAAATTATGTTTAAACTTGTCCACTGATGAGGGGCTCGATGAAGCAGCTTCAACTCGAGCTCTGATATACCCCCACAGAGACTTGATATAGGATGATTACAAAGGGCAAGGTACCTGAAAACATCCACATCAATTGGTGCATATCTCACGCTGTGCATATGATCTTACAGAGTATAATAAATGCATAATTCTCTTGGTGTACAAGTTAAATCATAAAGACCTCAAATACAAGATGAAATGGTGCATGATCGCTATAGCCAATCAACAGCAAGCAGTAGGATTAAATCAGCTTGACTCACCTAATGACATTCATTTGAAAAGTATGCAGGAGAATCAATTATGCAAACTTGTTAGTGCCTTTACAGTCAAGATATGGATGCCCATGAATCAATTCAAATTTAAACTGAAAGCATAATTGTCACAATTCACTCGGGTAGTTTAGGAGGCCATGGTGAAGCAGCCTCCGAGGCCGCGGCCCCGGTACTGGGGCTGAAACCGACACTGGGCTTAACGGGGAAACAGGAGCCCTCCCTGGGCTTAACGGGGATACAGGAGCCCTCCCTGGGCTTAACTCGGGATCTGGAGCCCTTCCTGGGCGGAACTGGGAAATAGGAGCCCTCCGTGGGCTATACGGGGAACCAGGAGCCCTCCCTTGGGGCTGGAGCCGACACGGGAGCGAGCTCTGGGGCTGGAGCCGACACTTGAGGGCGCTCGGGAGGAGCGGGCACGTGAGGGCGCTCTGGAAGGCGCTTACGAGGAGCGGGTACTGGAGCTGAAATCGACACTGGGGTCACATGAACGCTTGGAGGGCTTGCCACATGAACGCTTGGCGGGCTTGCCATATTAATATTCGGTGGGCTTGCCATTTTAACTGCCGGCTGACTTGACTCGGGAACTGCCGGCTGAGAGGTTCCGGATCGGGATCAGAGACTCTCCAGACATCGGATGACTGTCTCCTTCCAGTCGAGGTCGGTGGTGTCTGGGAGCTCCGTGGGATGATGGAATGTCATCCCGATCCAGAACATCGTTGCGAGGGTTTCCCCCTCGAGGGAGTTGGCGAGGGCGAGTGGTACGAACGCCCTCGCGAAGACGATGGGGTCTAGGCTCGCCTGAGCCAACGTGACAAACATTGCTCGTTCCTCCATTTGGGGACGTGGAGGAACGCGTGGAACGAACGGGGAAAACAAAACACTTGAAAAAAAAACAGGAAAAAAAGACGGGGAGAAAAGGCGCCACTCACTTTCTGTATCGGTCGGGTCTTCTGTCACAATTCACTCAGGGAGCAAGGAACGAGGAAACGAGGAGTACTTGAATAACACAGTCTTTAATAATCCACAGGAAAACCGAGAACAAGGAGGACATTCAACAAATCCGGACAAACCAACAGGGAACAAAACACTCTTTAAATACACTGAACAGGCTAATGGGAAGACGAGACACACCTGGGATCAATCAAAACAAACGGGGAACACCTGGAATGAAATCAATGAACGGGAGACAGAAACTGGGACACGGAGCACAACCAAAACTAGGAACAGAGTCTGACAATAATGGTGTTCAACCTCTGACCCATGGAATTTTTTAAATGTTTGTCCTTTTCAACATTTTTAAATGTTTGTCCTTTTCATATGGAGAACACTTTTACATCTGAGGTTATCTGAGGTGGCAAAAAAAAACAATCTGAATGAGAAAATTATTAACTGTACAGACATAAAACAAAACTAATCAAACATTATGAAATAGAAAGTCTGTGAAGCTCTCATTTTTTAACTGATTTTAAAAAGTTTTCTTCAGTTTTGTCTTGCTTTCCATTAAAAATATTTGAGAAAAATGAGAAAGTAAAACTTATTTTTAGAGAGCATAAACCTCACCAGTATAAAATGTTGTTCATAAGATCAAATCTGAACAAACTGAATTATGAATGAAGCTCTGAGCAGTAGATTGTGTAGACAGGAGGCTGTACTGTCCAGTGGCCTAAAAGTCTTATTACAAAAGGTTGCATGGTGGCCAGAAAATGGGTGAGATATTGCACTCGTCTCCCTCAGACAACCAGGGTTTCAAGACGTAACCTAAAGTTCTCAGAGCTGAGATATTTTGGTTCATTAGATATTGGAAATTTCACAGCCTCCATAAATTTAGACATCAGCAGGAACTTGCGACACACAGCAAGTGGAAAACTGTCGAATCACTCAAAAAACTTTGGCTGAAGACTTTAAGCAAATAGAATGGCCCAACAGTCTTAAATTTATAGTATAGGCCTCGATGATGTTAATTCAATAGGAATGCTCTTGTTTCTTTTCTTTTCCCTTCTAACTACAGATTCCAGTAAACACTGAAGCCTTTCTGTATAATATGAACCGATTATCTGACTTGTCTTTGTCATTCATGGCTGATTCTGATTATGATGGTGCACTTTTACACTTAATTAAGAGATACTCACAGCCTCTGCAGTTGTGTGTATTTGGAGAAGATGTAATCATCCAAATTCCTGATCCTATTGTTCTTCAGAGACCTGTAAATTATAAAGCATCGAATTACAAACAACACAACATTACAGGTGTAGTTCATCCGAGAAAGGAAAATCCTGTAATCTTTTACTTGACTAATAATGTTGTACAAAACAATTATTTTTATATTCCATTCCATTAGCAAAAGCCATATAATATATTTGCATAAGGAACAGACCAATATGTAAGTCGTTAGTTAGTGAAAATCCTCCTCTCCACTTCGATCTTTCAAAACTCATTCCAGACTCAGATTCATGGACTACTTTGATTTTGTGAGATCGCTTCAACCTTCAGTACTATATAGAAAAGAAAGAAAAACCTGGCCATTTTAAATATCTCCTTTGGTGTTCAAGAAAAAAAAGAAAAATCACACAGTTTTTGAAGAATATGAGCGTCATTCAAGAGTAAATGATGAACAGAATTGCCTTTTTTCGGGTGAATGATCTCTTTAAGGAGTCTTTTCATACCACAAGGCTGAAACAATGTGGTTTTCCTGGATACAAATTAGAAACCACTGATATGAATTATCTAACATTCCTTTTTTTTCCCAAAAACATCCCCAGAATCCAAAAGATAATCTCCAGAATCCTTATTCCAAAACTCATAAATTATCAATAGATACACGTTCTGCCCTGTTTATCTCAAATGATCTTCAAAGTCCAGATCAAAACAAATCAAAAGTATCATAAGCACAAATATACCCCATGCCGAACAATCTAAACATAACCAAAACCAACAAACAAAATAAAATCCAACCTTTCAAGCAGTGTGCCTAATTCTTCTTATGTCTGGTAAATGTTCAGCGCAAAGAAGCTCTTTATCTCGTTAAGCTTTATGGCTCAGTGATGAAGCACTATGTCTCACTGATGTCAGATTTGAACTCCTACAGATTAATAACCTCTCGTGGGAGCAGAGGAGTAAAGCTCTGCAGATGGATCCCAGCTCGATGTACTTACAACCAAGTCACATTGGAGGAGAGGACAGGTACAACATGCAGGTTCACGTCAACACATTCCACCTCGGTCTTAATGCAATCACAGCTCTCCGGGTACTGCTGCACAACTGTACAAGATCAATAAAAACACATACAATTATTCAATTATTATAGCAATACATTATTATTACATCTAGTACACAAAGCTAAAAAAAACTAACTAAATAAAAAAGATTTATTGCATTGTTGTTTCTTTGGTTTGCCTCCTATTGTTCATTTCTGGCAGGAACACATATATTGTCAATGCAGCATTTCTATTATATACATGATTAATAAGGTTGATCCAACAATTATATTAGATGATTTGCATTACTGCATTTTTTCATTGCTCAAATTAGTCCTGCACTGAAAAAAGTTTTTTTTTCTTTTCCTGTCCCTTCAATCTCTTTTAAATACTACCATTTTTAACTAAACATATTTAAATATTGAAGATACAGACATTAGTATCAATTCAACTATTGTTTCCATTAAATTCAATTTTTCGTGTAGGAGTCAAAATGAAAAGAATCCCCTCATCAGGAATGTATAAATATTATATGATATGTAAATATAATTATGATCTAGTTACACAGTATGAGTGACAGTACTCATGTTCTTTAATAAAATAATAATAATGTAATATTTTAAATAATGTTTCATTTTATTTTTATTTTTATAACAGTTTACAGGACAATTACAGAGCAAGCGTCACCTAATTAATATTCATAATATTAATATTCCTCATTTGTAAGCTGCTTTGGATAAAAGCATCTGCTAAATGAATAAATGTAAATTATCAAGTCAGTTTTAAGCTCCCAGTAAGTACAACAATTTCAAGGCCAAGGGACTTTGAAAGCTAATAAATTTCCATGTGCTTCTACAGAATCGTAAAACTCATGCAGATTTACAACACATTACAGTAAAAAGCAGCCAATAGGATTTCTGACTTCAAAAGCATCCTGTAGACTACTAAAGCCTAAGGCTATAAATGTATCAAATAAACTCTTCAGCCCAAAACACACTGCATGATTTTAGCAATCCTATAAAATCACTGCATGTCACACTGTGCGACATAGATCTTAAACTTGGCTACGACGTGTGTGTAGACTGTACGATGATGACACCTATTCACTCGTACGCTACGACGCATGTTACTACAGAAGAAAAAACGTCATGAGCATGCGCTAGTGGTAAACAAAAAGAGCATGATAAATCACACTTTAGCAGCTGTATTTTTTTATGTGCTGAAAAAAAGTGGAAGCGGCGAAAGAGGAAGGGATAAGAGCTAGAGGTAAGCAGTTTTATGTTTTAGCGCCATGTCGCGTTGATTTCATGACACATTTTTATTGGTTGGTCAGTAAACGTGGATCGTACCAGCAAACACACTGTGCGATGATCATTCTGTATCGTAGGCTTTCTTTGGTCGCAAGACCTTGACAACGGCCATCTTTGAACCTCTCTCACTGTACGACATAAGTGCACCGATTAGGAGTCACGATCAAAGAAATCGCCACGATTGTTTCATGATGTCAATCTTTTGTCTGGGACAGCCGAAAATCGTGTAATGTGTTTAGGGCTTTAGAGAAGCAAAAAATCTAAGTCTGGCCCTGACATGGAAGTTGCAGCAGCATTTTGAACATGTTTTTTTTTTTTTACGAGCCTCAAGATAACATCACTCATGCTAATCTTTTCCAAAGGAAACTGGATCAAGACCGGGACACATACAGCAGTCATTAGGAAGGTCCTGTGGCTCTGCCTTTTTAATAGTGCGGTCAAAGATATCCGCCCATCCGCTGTTGTCCCCTACAGAAAGCGAAAGCAAGTCTTTGTATGAGAAAGTATGCACCGTAACAATATACAAATATCACTTTAAAGACATGAATGACTTTTGTGGTCTAAAAGAGATGTCATTTCTCCCTGCATGGGAAAATTGATTACATCAATGTTGAATAAACATCACCTCCTAATGTATTTCGAAGTGGAATCAATGTTGATAAAAATTTTGTTCTGTAAGTCTGAACATTACTTTTTCTACATATTTTAAAAGTCAAAAAGGCTTTAGAATTGAGTATAAGTACATCTATTTAATTTTGGTAACACTTTATTTTAAGGTGTCTTTGTTTATAATATACGATTATAATAATTAATTATGCATAATTACATGCAAGTAACCCTAAGCCAAACCCTAATCCTAACCATATAGTAAGTACATGTACTTAATTAATTTTACACCAGAGGCATAGATTACGCGGGGGACGTGTCCCCCCCACTTTTAATATCACGTAAATTCGTCCCCTGCACTTTTGCGGGCAAGTGTGTTCGAGGTTTTCAAGAGCCGGTGTGATTAAATATAAATTTAAATTAAAAGAGACAGGATAATCTGTGCATGATCTGATGTTTTATTAGGACACAGAATAAGGCGAGATGAACATTGAGGAGCGCTAAACACTCCTTGCAGTGTATGTTTCATTCATACTTGAAGCCAGAGGGCGCTCTCGCGCAGAAAGTCGTACGAGGAAATTCCTAATATGGACAAAAGCATCCAGCTATCGCTGTACGAAAACAGTTGTTTTCACAGAAAAACAGAAACGTTTGGAAACATGAAGACATTAAACATACGATTGCGACAATATATGGTTTATTTGTGTTTGTCACTTCAGCTCCAGGAAATAAATAAAGTATATGAACAATGCAGTGCTAATTGTCATAACATTTATTACAGTATAGAAACTATTCTGCCTTATTATGTGATAAAAAAGTGTTTGTAGTATATAAAAAAATCATTATTATTGGTTATTGTCCAGCAGTTATCTGATTTCTAAGCCAATTAAAATCTAGAAATTAGAGAAAAATTAAAGTTGCCTATACACTGCCAGTCAAA